TATATATTATATACATATTTTTTAAGTTGCTGTTTCAATATTATGCATATTCCAGGGTAGATCTCACGGCCGACAAGGAGACAAAAGTGACTGTGGGACGCCTACACTTCAATGAAACCACAAACAACAATATGAGGAAAAAAGGGAAGCCAAACCCTGATCAACGTTACTTCCTGCTCGTTGTCAGTTTGCACGCGCACAGCGGTGACTCGGACTACATGATTGTGGGGAGTGTGTCAGACCGAATTATTGTCAGGGTGAGTCACCTCATTGTTTAATTAACCCTATCCGAACGGCGTGTTTTACTATCATATCCATACGAGGAACTCTCTGCCACCACTTTCAAAGAGGAAATTTACTCGTTAATCTGATCCATACGCTTTGCATAGCAGTCTTTCAAAATGATTTTTTGAGAAATGCTGAAAATTTCAAAGAGACCTTCGTACTAGAAGTATTCTAAAATGTGAAGAATACAACCCCGGGGGTACAAAATGACCCCGAGGCCTATATGGATAGGGTTAAGAGAAAGTCAACAGGAGCATGTATGAGCTATAAGCATCTATACTGCCGTATGTTGACAAAACACCTGTTTTAAAAATTCACAGCAGGTTCTTGATTGAAGAGGCTTTTTTCCAGCGTAGCTATTTAAAAATGGTGTTCCTCCGAAATTTGAATTCTATACTATTAAAAAATTAATCATTGTTGCACTTTGGTTTTTTCACACAAGTAGGGTAAAACTAATCAAAAGTGGAAAAAAAGGCGTTTTGTCAGCTTATGGCAGGATAGTCTGATGGTTAGGATCTTTCCCATCGCACGCAGGAGATGTGAGTTTGAGTCATGAGTTGTGAAGGTTTTCTTTTATTTATCGAGTGCTGCTCTCTGTCTGTTCGGATGCAGCAGCCCACTCAGTTGCGGTCGGTCTTATCCGGCATGTTTGAAGCAGTCGCCTTCCTATGATCTATGTGGCATTGGTGGCTTAGTGGTTAGGCTCTCAGACTCGCAACTGTGAGGTTGTTGGTTCAAATCCTGTCAGGGGCCTGAGGTTGTGTCCTTAACTTGGGAAAGGCACTTTACACAAATTTTCCTCATTTCACCCAATACAAAATTTCCTCACTTCACCCAGATGGGAATGGGTATCCAGCTATAGACAATGAAAGATGTCAGTTTGTTAATGTTTGAGCGCTTAATCAGCTGCTTGCACTGTATGCTTCATGGGAAGCTGAGAATGTTTCTGAGTATACTGTGGTCTGCTGGGGTAACGATATAGTGTAAAGTGCAGAGAGCTTGCTGTCGAGCGGGGATATGCGCTATACAAATGCTATTTATCATTTTTATTATCATCTAGATTATGTCAGTGGGACATAAAATGTTCAAGACTTCATTTACAATTTTGAGTCTCAGTACATCTGCTAAGTGGTTGCCATCCTCTGATTCAATAGCAGATAGAATAGAGAAAGAAAAAGAGAAAAAGGAAAGGTGACTTTTTAATCATTTGTGGAGAAGTATTAAGTGGTTTTAAGAAAAGAGCTTTTTATTTGAGATAAATTAGACCTACTTAAAAAAATTAACGCAAAATCCAATAGATAAATGCAGAAATAATACATTTTTGTACTCTTGCTATTTCTCAAAAAATTCATTATGGGGCACTAAGCAAAAACTTTTATTCTTCGTCTTCTGCTTTTCCCTCAAGAACAAGATATGCAACAAATCTCGACAATTATGATTCAACGCTCATTTCATTGCTTGATTAACCTGATCTTTACTCAACTGCCATCTGTTCAGGTTCTGTGCCTGAGCAAGTTTTTCTCGGTCTTCCTTTGAAGCAAATCCTCTAGTTTTTGAAAACTGTACCTTTGAAGTTTGCGAACTTTGCAAAACTATAAAAAGATTGTCTTACTGCTTATACTTTGCCTAACCTTATCATTTTTTTGTACACATGTCTTAAGTCTTATATTTTACCTAACCTTATCATTTTTTTTACACCTGTCTTAAGTCTTATATTTTACCTAACCTTATCATTTTTTTTACACCTGTCTTAAGTCTTATATTTTACCTAACCTTATCATTTTTTTTACACCTGTCTTAAGTCTTATATTTTACCTAACCTTATCATTTTTTTGTACACCTGTCTTAAGTCTTATATTTTACCTAACCTTGTTATTTTTTTTGTACACCTGTCTTAAGTCTTATATTTTGCCTAACCTTATCATTTTTTTTTACACCTGTCTTAAGTCTTATATTTTACCTAACCTTGTTATTTTTTTAATACACCTTCAGGCCTCAAACCCAGGCCAGTTTGACAGCGATGTTGACATCATGTGGCAAAAAGGTCAGTCCCAGGACTCAATCTATCACATGGGAAGAATCGGCATCAACACTGACCACCCAGATGAAGCCTTGACCGTCCACGGGAGCATGGCTCTGACCGGAAAATTGACCAAGCCGTCTGATATAAGAGCAAAAGAAGACATACAGGAGGTGAACTCTTTAATGTTTTGTTTGATATAGTTAGATTTGAGTTGAACATGCATGTTTGTTTGGTGATATTTTTGTTGTTGATGGCAGTGATGGTGAAGTTGTTATTGTTGGTGAAGGTGATGATGGTGATATTTTTTCGCAGTGTTATAATAATATAATGATAATGATAATGATGTATAATAATGATAATAGGCAATAATAATAATAATAATAATAAATAGCATTTATGTTGCGCTATTCCATTTTCTGAAAAAAAAAAAAAAGCTCAGTGTCCATTACATTTATAAAGATATCACTTTTTAAATATAAATGGACATGGGTGTAGGTAAAACATAGTATAATGTATAATGTATACGTATAAAACATTTCTAATCACACGTTATATTTTATTTCAGATTGATCCCAAAAACCAGTTGGCAAATGTTTCCAAGTTGAGAATCTACAGATACAAATTTAAAGAGGAATACGCAGAGCAGGTGGGAATTCCACCAGACCACAGAGAAGACACAGGTATGCTATGGAAAGATAATTTTCTTTAATTCACTTAAAAAACTTTAAAACTCTTTCACTACCATGTAGGGGTTATTCGTCTCCTGGCCCGGGCCTTATCTGTGACCTACTTTCAGATAATGTTTCACTATTCATTGTTCATACTTGTTTTCAGGAATATCTGCATAGTATTTTACAAAAAGATAAAAGGATATTTTTTTCACTGAGATTCCACACCCCAGATTTTAGTGTTGTTTTGGTTTAGTACAAAGTTTTTCCCAGATAAAGAGGTTTTTTGTGTGTGAGACACCCCCCACCCATAAAAAAGAGCTTTCCTTTGAAAAAGAACAGACCTGATATCATCATCTGCACTCACAAAATTCAGAATGAATTCCTCACCAAATTGAAGAAACTCTTGTTGTAGTAACAAATAATGCTAAGTATACTTCCTAAAATGGCAATATATATATGGCTGCTTGAAAGGCAAGGGACACGACATATATGTAGAAAAACAGCTGTGTGTGCAGAAATGAGTGGTACTCTTGGTTTGGGAAGCTGATCAGGTCAGTCACCACAGAGATGGAGTGGGTTAAATGAAGAAGAAGCTATCTTGTTCTTTTCACGTTTTTGTTCATTATGATACTGTTTTGATATGTTCTTGTTACTGTCGCTTATGATAATGTTCTGTTTTTGTCGCTTATGATACTGTTTTATTATGTTCTTGTTACTGTCGCTTATGAAAACGTTCTGTTTTTGTCGATTTTATGATAATGTTTTTGTTTTTATCTTTCCCTACCAGGCGTTTTGGCTCAGGAAGTCCTCGACACGATTCCAGATGCTGTTCAAGAAACAGGGGATGTTGTACTCTCAAATGGCGACACCATTGAGAACTTTCTTGTTGTTGACAAGGTGAAAATAACTCCAGTATTTTTAATTGTTCCATTTATACTTGAATTACTTGAATTATTTGAATATAGAACTGGGGTCTTTGGAAGACGGGGGTGCTCCATGCTTCCTCTCCCCTCTCCATGAGGGTCCATTTCAGTGTGGGAAGGCTAATTGTCTCTATCATCAGCAGGTGTTTCATTTATTTAACAAGTAAGGCATCATAGCTCCTTATCTCATGGGGGGGAGGGGTAAACCCATAATGTCGAGGCCCTCTTTTGGTAAGACATCACACTTACGTCACTAAATTGGGAATTAAATAAAAACAAATGAACCTATATTGATAGTTCTTCATCAAATGAAACAACTCCTAGTAAAGGAAACTATCCTTCCGTCTGAAAATGTTTATTGTGTTCCGCATGCTCATATGACCTTATGCAATTGCCAGCGCCGTAAAACACTTACCGAAAAAAAAAGGAGACCTGTTTCAGCAATTACT